AGTATAATATATATATATATATATATATATATATATATATGAGTATAAAGATATATATATCTTTATACTGATATACATAAAAAATTGTAGTATATTAAAAATGAAAAGAAAAAGAGAAGAAGATCGAGAGATCCCTCCTCTCAAAATAGTCAATGCAGAAATTTAAATATTATTCTCAATTTGTAAAATAATCTTTAAAAATTATGAAGAATAAAATTAATTTTATATTCTGATATTACTCACTAAAGATCATTTTTTTAAATGAGAAATTTTTCATTTTTATTTTCCAGATTCTACAGCTACTAAAGAATATAATTTCAAACATTTGATCATCATAATTGAATCAATAATTTATATGTGAATATTTATCATATTCTAGAAGATTTGTTCTACATATATTTCTCTGAAGACATTCTTTTTCTTAGCTATTTATTCTAATACATGCATTGAATTTAATTAGAATATGCTAACCTTACAAAATTATTTTGGCTAGTATGTTATACTTAATAACAACTTAATTCCAAAATGAACTCGATTAAAATGATATCGAATTATCTTATAAAAATTCTGACAATCTAAATAACACAAGATGTCCTAGAAATCTTTGTAAGAAAAATATTTTAAGACATCCTAAATACATCCAGAACTTCGATTGTTTTGCGCTGTCTAGGAATTATTATTGTAAAAACCTTATGATTTTTTTGTTTAAGATGAAATAATGAAACAATAAATTAATTATACGCGACTCCAAGTATCACTAAAAAATTAACTTCAGCGGTAATTAAAAAAAAAAGAATCTCCTTATCTAGTACTAAAAATGATAAAAAATGTATAATTGTAAAAATATAAATATAAATATAAATATATATATATGTCTATATATAAAAATATGTAATTACATATAGTTACATATATTTATATATAATCACATATAATTGTCATCAATCACATATCACTATTTCACATATAATTATATTTTTTATGTAGACATATTTTTATATGGACATATTTTATATGTACTCTTATTACAAATATATGTGTGTGTGTGTGTGTGTGTGTGTGTGTGTGTGTGTGTGTGTGTGTGTGTGTTGTGTGTATATATATATATATAATTATATTTAATTATATATAGAACATTTATCAAGTATCACGAACTTCTACATGATATTTCTGTTTCGCATTTGGAGTTAAATGCATCAATTAAAAGATATTTAATAAAAAAAATTATAAAAATATTATCGCACGCGAGGAATTTCATTTTTTTCAACAAAACGAAGTAACGCGCGTATACCGTTGGCGACAACGGCATACCTGCGTAGTAGTCGAACCGCGAGTAATGGTGCGCATGCGCAGACGGCGGCGCGCCGAATGCTGATTGGCCGCTGACTCTAAATTCAAGTCGCGGCAGTTAGTGTAGCGACCGTGGAGCGAGCGCGCTTGAAGGCGCGACGCCGTGTAGCCGCGTAGAATTATCTTAGTAGGTATCTTTTTTTCACCGCGTGTGTAAACGCGCGCGCGTCCGCGACTCTCCCCGTCATTAATCCCCTCGAGCGCGTTACATTTACTTATTTACATTTTTTAAAGGGCATCCCGCGCGCGACGGTGTTCGCGATCGTTCTTGCGACGCGTTTCGGGAGAGCCCCCGCGTTTACGTTTTTCTCCTCGGCTCCGTCTTGCGTGCGCGCGCGCGCGCGTGTGCTTTTTTTCATCACCGGTGATATTCTCACGCCGGCGGGAGGGAAAGGGAGAGAAATTCGTATGTGCCGAGATATCGCCGACGATGACATGTCGCGACGCGCGGTCGAGTCAGTGAGTGTGCCACGGTAGTTGATCACGGTGCTCTGGTGCCGATCGTCGACGGGCGTTTAGTATGACGACCAGCTGACGGATGTATCTCTTCTCTACCTCCTCACGGCGTCGGCGGGTTTGACGAGCGGACAGTGGAAGGTAAGTGAGGACACGACGCTCCCGCGAGGGGAGATTTTCGATACGCGTCGAACTGCGTCGCGGCGGCGTTCCATTTTAAGCCATCTAGCGATCCATTCACGCGCCGTTTTGGCGACATTACCACGGCTTCCACGGTTTCTTCTATTGTATAAAGATACGAGGGGGGCAAATCTCGGGGGTTCGTTATCGCGCACAGATCGTGAAACGTTTCAATCTTCAGGTTGCTCACCTTCCCGACGGCCACGTTTTGCTCGTTGCGATTAATCTTCTACGATGGAAGAGAGTTCCTTTGCTGAAGTGAACTTCAGCAATTGCGAAAAGCTGGCATCAATCGCGAGCGGATAATATCTTCTTGGTTTCTACCTTTCCTTGATTTGATCGATCAATCGATTAAGTCTTCGAATTTAAAACATCTAAAGCTATATTGTCGAGAACACGTAGTTCTTTTGTTTCCGACAATACAAGGGACCAAAAAATATGTGAAAATGTGAGAGAAAAACGATAAGCTTTCCAAAGGCTTTTAAGATAAAAATCTCTGCTTTCCCTTAGCAGACATTTTTAATTAATATTTCATTGTTATAATTACTTGCGAAGAAAGATTAAAGAACTTCAATTAAATATTAATAAATAGTAAATTTTCTAATAAAAATAATAAGATATTTTATTTATTTTATTGCTAAATGAAATATTTACTTCATTATTAATTATTTCTCCATATATGCGTATAAATCAATATATAAATATATTGATATAGTATAGAAATGTTTCATCATCATGTTTATCTGATTTTTTATTTAATATCCGATTCTTGGTTGTAAAAGTTACGTTATTTCTCTCCGACGTAGGTTATTCTGAGACTATCCATATTTAAAATGCAAATTGCAATTGTATAATTAGTATAGTATTAAAATGAACTATTCTGTGCAAGAGTCTTCTAAAAATATGCAGAGATTGGTAGAAGATTTGATGTTTCCACGTAAAGTTACGCAATTATACAGCGAAGGTTTAAGTTTCTTTTCGATATTTATTTTCTTCTTCATCAAGCATCATTGCGTTTGTGCTCGTTCGACTTTTGCTGCCGGAGAATTGCGTCCTTTCGGCTGCTCTTGTGTTTCGGAAAGTCTGGTAATTACGGAGGTGTGCATTAGTTTGAAAGCGAAATTCTTTCGATTGAACAATGTTACTCGGGAATAGCTGCTTTTGTTGACTCCGATTCGCAAACAACTTACGAGCTTCCGTGAGAATCGATTTCGAGAACTCACGTGAGAGAAGAGACTTTCGAAACACCAGTGGAAACCTGCATAACTAAACTTATTGTCTCAAGAAGCAAAACAAGAACCCAGTAATTTTTTAAAAATGCCATTTATTCGTAACTATCGTATCCACTTTATTTCAAATCTCAAATCTGCATTTTGATGCATTCAATTATTTTAGTTACTAATTATCCTTTTATTATACTCGTGTGAATATTATTCGAAAATAAATATACAAAACGTTTCGTTATTTTAATAATAATAATTATTATTATTTTTTTTGAGAATTAGAATTATCTTTATTTTATTAATATTCTGAATTTTAATAGCTGATAATTAAAATTGAATTAAAAAAGATTATTAAATATTCTACATAATGTGTATACACAATATGCATTAATTTTTAATTTTATAAAAGAATTATAATTTTAATTTTATTAAAAAAGAAATTGTTTCCTTGATATCCATATAAAATTCCGTATTAAATTCAAA